TACACAAAGAAGATACACCCCTTCGTCCCATCGTCTCTACTATCAGCTCCCCCACCTACAAACTGGCACGTTTTCTTGCTGATATACTGCGACCTTTCACTGGAAAAACCACCTCTGCGGTACTAAATTCTACTCACCTGGTATCGACAATCAAAGGCATTTCCCTGTCCCCAAACGACCTGCTTGTCAGTTTTGATGTGGTGTCCTTGTTCACCAAAGTCCCGGTACCTGACACCATCGCTATCATTGAAGACCTGGTTCATCAAGGACTGCATACTGATGTACCCCCCCTGGTGAGACATTGCTTAACCAACACTTACTTCACCTGGAATGGAACTTTCTACAAACAAACTGAGGGCACCCCAATGGGCTCCCCCCTATCTCCGGTTGTAGCCAACGTATTCATGGAAAAATTTGAAACTGACGCCATCCAGACTGCCACTCTACGCCCGACCTTATGGAAGAGGTACGTTGATGACACCTTTGTCATCTGGCCACATGGCCAGCCTGCTCTAGACAAATTCTGCGACAACATCAATTCCATACACCCAGCCATCAGATTTACCATGGAGGTCGAAAAAGATGGCAAACTACCCTTTTTGGATGTCTTAATTAAAAGAAGACATGATGGTTCAATGAGCCACTCTGTCTACAGGAAAGCTACCCATACAGATGCTTACTTGAAACCGGATTCCCACCACCATCCATCCCAGAAGAACTCCCTCATCAAGACTCTATACCATAGAGCCCAATGCATTTCCGACCAGGAACACATTACCAGTGAACTCAAGCACGTACACCAGGCTCTCAGGGCTAATGGCTACTCCGACTACACAATCCGCAAAGCCATCACTCCAGTCATGAAGAAGGATCCTCTTGTGGAGCCACTCAAAACATCACCTTACCCTACATTGCAGGGGTCACTAAAAAGATCTCCAAAATCCTGAACAAACACAAGATCCAGGTCCGATTCAACACAGTACATAAAATCCGTGATTTAGTTCCATCTGTAAAAGATGCTGTTCCAGACATACAGTACCCGGGCGTTTACAAACTAAAGTGCCTCTGTGGTAGTAGCTACATTGGAGAAACCAAAAGACATATCTCGGACCGCATCCGCGAACACAAAGCAGACTTGAAACACGGTAGGACGAACTCCTCTGCCGTGGCAGATCACTGTTATAATTCAGTGGGCTCACATGACATTGACTTCTCCAAGACGGAGGTTCTTTGCAAACCAACCGGCTACCATGAGAGATTCGTTCATGAGGCCATTCACATATACAAGCACAGAGACAATTTCAACCGAGAAGATGGATTCAGGCTTAGTAACCACTGGAAAGATGTTTTAAATCATTTCTGTTCTTAATTAATTGTATTTTTACGATGACCTTCAGACCGCAGCTCTTTCGCCAGCATTGCCTCTTAATACCTCTCACACCACGGTTAATGGTATAGTTTTACAATATGGAGCATACTAGGGCCTCGCAGCTGTCTCTCTCCCCCTCCTCTGTTCCGACCATGGACGAACTCGTCCGTCTGAACGGGGCCCGTAGCTATCCGTGGTGCTGAAATTTGAGGGTAAGAATCCACCCATTTTTTCGCCATATAGCATTGTGATATATAACGACATATTGTTGGTAGCTTAGCTGATTGGAGAATATAGAGTTTATTGATAACATGAAGGTAATTTATATTTTAGTTTTTATTGGTTCACTATATAGTACTGTGAATAGCTCAGATGTGTAGTCATTTCTGTGACCAGTCACTAGCTAATCACTCAGTTGTTTCAATGCTGGATTCGCCTAGTTATTTCAATGCTAAATTCTCCTGTTTGATTTGTACTAAGGGCCTCGGTGAATGTGTATGCTCTGACTTTAACGTAGCTATTTCTGCAGCAGGTACAAGCTCTATTTCTGCAGCAGGTACAAGCTAATCACTCAGCTATCTTAATGCTAAATTCTATGCTAATTCCATTGTCAAGATGTGTATGCCTTAACTTAGCTATTTCAATGCTAAATTCTATGCTAATCCCTTTAACAATGGGTGCCTCTGCGGGTGTGTATGCTTTAACTTTAACATAGCTATTTCTGTGACCAGTCACAAGCTAATCATTCAGCCATTTCAATGCTAAATTATATGCTAATTCCTTTGTCAAGGCGCTTTGTTCCTCTCACACAGCTTAAAGGCCGTATCTGAACGTGGCTCTTTCACTCCAGCGCTGTCCTACCAGACAGTCTCGCCCCCCTTCACCTGATGAAGGCCGCTTGTGTTGTGGCCGAAACGTCGTGAGAATATTATTGTGTTATTTTATTTTATCAATTTATTATTTTATTATCATTCTACGTGACTTTACCGAAAGAACCAAAGAAGATACACTTTTTTACATACGAGAGAAAAAAAATGCGTGTACTCGTGTGTCCCGAAGCACCTCTCTTACTCCCCAAATGCATTAAAATGTTCTAAAAAGCCTATTTGAGCAATTTTCAATCCACAGCTGGACGAAGGCCTCTCCACATCATGTCATCCAAAGGTGTTTTATGACCATGTATCACCACGCTGCTCAGTGCAGATTAGTGGAGGGAAGGGAGGACACGATATCACTCTCCACTGATGTTAGCCATTGCTTGGAACAGCCATCCCTGGTAATGGCAAATCGGGGCAACTTCCCTAGGCCTCAGGCTGTGGGTGGACCCTGTGCTTTGACGTTGCGGTATCAGATGTAATACTTCTGGTTTAAATCTTGACTTAAAGCTTTTGTGACTGCAGGAATTCATATTATTTGGGTCTTTCGGTAAAGTCACATAGATAGGTTCAAAGAAAACAAAAAAACCGTGACATTTCGATCACAACACAAGCGATCGTCATCAGGAGGAAAGAGGAAAGCTGCTGAATGCAGACTGTTGTATAGGGTGTCGTCCTAGGGTCTTAAACGAAGTGGGCGGGGCTAGTGATGTTAATGTGAGAAATTAGCATGTTAATGTAAGATCGGAGAACGGCGTCCACGACGAGTGCATGGGTGGCGACGTTAATGTGAGAGATTAGCGTGTTAATGTAAGATCGCAGAGCCAGCTCGACGTAGAGGTCGGCATCCGTAGTTGGCCACGTTGGCGCGAGAAATTCAACCTGTTAATGTGAAATTGGAGAGCCGAAGCCACGGGAAAATTTTTTAATTTACATCGAAAGGTGGCATGAAGCATCACAGCCAGTTATGCCTTAAACTGGTTGATAACGTCCTTCCAATGATTGCTAAGTTTGTACCCATCTTCTCGGTTGAAATTGTGTCCGTCTGTATATATGGATGGCTTCATGAACGAATATTTGTTGATAGCCAGTGGGTTTGCAAGTACCTTCGTCTTAGAGAAATCAATTTTGTGAGCCCACCGCATTAAAACAATGATCAGCCATGACCGAGGTATTGGTCCTTCTGTGTTTCAGATTTGCCTCATGTTCACGAACACGGTTCGAGACATGTCGCTTAGTTTCCCCAATGTAACTACTGCCACAGACACAGGTTAGTTTGTAGACGCCGGGGGTATTGCATATCAGGGATCACATTCTTCACAGATTGGATCAGATCACGAATTTTACGTACTGTGTTAAATCGAACCTGGATCTTGTGTTTGTTCATGATTTTGGAAATCTTTTTAGTGACCCCTGCTATGTATGAACCTATCTACGTGACTTCCGGTTTAGTTTGAAGGCTTCAGGAATCCCACACGGTGAGATTTGCACCAGGCCCCACACTCCCTCTGGATGGCTGACTGGATTATAGTGCAGTGCACCAAATAAATATTCCACCACCATGGACGACATCGTTTTGTGTGTAGAGCTGCTGTGACGTCACCTGTATAGCTGAACACGAATGGGAACTGAGCTGTGACTTCATGTACGACTTGATGCATGGAAGGAGACTGAGAGAAGCGATCAATGATTTTCTGAATTAATGAATGACTAAATGGATTAAGTGCCTAATTAATGAATTAATTGACAAATAAATTCTTTAATGAACCTATGAATTGAAGAATGAACAGATGAAAGACGAAATGAACGAACCAGTGAGTTACTCAATTAATGCTGGTGACGCGCTCCCTTTTGTGCTGTTGCTATCTGCTGGGAGTGCACAGACTGCGTCTCGGGTTCAATATGAGACTGGGGACCATGGTGCATCATCATCAATACATCGATTACAAGCATTTCTTGAGGCGACCCCATACCTGAGCGATAAGTGTAACTTGGTTGCATGCAACTGAATAGGGTTAGATCGCATAAATATATAAATGTCATTAAAACCCGGCACCACTTGACACAGCCAACGAGTAAGGGTTGTCATGTAAACAGAACATGCCAATTCGTCACTAGTACACACCGGTGTGTTGGAGAGCCAAGCCACAAGATTTACAATCTGAGTACGACGTTTCGCCAGTAATTACAACCAGCTTCATCAGGCGACAGCCAGATTTGTGGAGAAGTCCACGTGTTTCGTTCCTTATATAGAGGCATAGATGTGGTGACCACACTTCTGCGAGCCCTTTGATCTTGTCCTTCCTGTCCATTGTGTGTATTAAATTAGCCGTACCAACAGTAATCCCTCTTGAAGTATGGTACTCTGTATAGGCATGCATTAAAAACAATGTATTATTTGATGATTTGCTTCCACGCAGCACTAAGTTTGAAGCTATCGAAACGGTTAAAATTATTGTTATTTATTTCAATTTCGATAGATTCTCTAATTAGTCTTGGGCAGTCGTAGCTAGTTTTGCACATAACTTCAACATTATCAAAATCAATTGAGTGTTCTTGTTGACACGTGTTTATTTAATATTTCTCTGATGTTCTTTTAGTCTCGTGCTGATCATTCGTTCTGTTTACGCAACGTAACATTTGCCACAAGTGCAGTTAATCCTGTACAAACCTTCTGTTGATAGCTTCGGTAATACATATTTTATACCAGAAGTCGAGTTCAAGAAACATAAGTACGTTTTTATTACAACTGAAATATATATGTATAAATATACATGTCCATCCAACCACGTCTCAATGTCTATGTCTGGGAGAACACGCTAGTTTCTCCCTCTGCGGAGTCTCCACCACTTTTCTTTCTTCTTGTTTCCCAGCTCCTGGTCTTGGTGCTCCTTCCCTCTGTCTCCTCCTCGTTCCTTCTCCTCTTCCTCATCTTTCTCCAGCTGCCGTGTGCAGCACATGAAGCTCCAAATTGCCCAACGCCAGAAACTGTTCTTTCTCTCTCCCTTAGAAGATGGGATGTGCTTAATCTCTTTCTTCTCTTCCTGAACACTCTCTGCCCTCCAAGGTTGCTCACATCTTCCTTCCTCATTCACCACTTCCTGCTTTGTATCGTCTTCAATCGTGTCGACCTCCTTCAGCTCTACCTCATTTGCCTCTAACTCAATAGCTCCTACTTCTTTTGCGTCTACCTCTATTGCCTCTACATCATTCGCCTCTACCAAAATCGCCTCACTCTCCTCCACCTCAAAATCCCCTACCTCCACTTCTACCTCAATCACCTCTACGTCATTCGCCTCTAACTCATTCGGCTCTACCTCCATAACCACCTCCTGCTTGGCCTCTCCCTCAATCTCCTCTACCTCTTTTGCCACTTCCTGGATGGCATCTACTTCATATGCCTCGACCTCATTTGCCCCTTCCTGCTTTATTTCCTCCACCACGTTCTCAACTTTTTTTGCCATTTCCTGTTTGGCCTTTAGCTCATTCGTGTCTACCTCATTGATCAAGACCTGCATGGCCTTTTCTTCGATCGTGTCGACCTGAATTGCCTCGACCTGTTTCACCAACTCCCGCTTTGTATCTCTCTCAATCCCTTCTACGACATTGGCAACAACCTCTTTCACCACTTCCTGCTTGGCCACTGCATCTACCTCAATCACCGCTACCTCTACCTCACTCGCCACTTCCTTCTTGGGCTCTCCATCATTCCCCTCTCCCTCAATCTCGTTTTCCTTCATCTCTTCTACGTCCCGAACTTTCATCTCAGTCCTTCGTAGCTTCCTATTCCTACGTTTCCTCTGAACACCATCCTCTCCTTCTTTCTTTGTCTCCACAACATTATCAACTTTCTTAGCCACTTCCTGTTTGGCTATTCCCTCATTCCCATCTACCTCACTTGCCTCTACCTCTTTCCCTAAGTTCTCCTTGGCATCTCTCTCAATCCCTTCTATGACATTGGCCACTACCTCTTTCACAAATTCCTGTGTGGCCACTGCATCTACCTCAATCACCGCTACCTCTACCTCATTTGCCTCTACCTCACTCGCCACTTCCTTCTTGGGTTCTCCATCATTCCCCTCTCTCTCAATCTCGTTTTCCTTCATCTCTTCTACTTCCCGAACTTTCATCTCAATCCTTCGTAGCTTCCTATTCCTACGTTTCCTCTGAACACAATCCTCTCCCTCTTTCTTTGTCTCCACAACATTCTCAACTTTCTCCGCCACTTCCTGTTTGGCCATTCCCTCATTCCCATCGACCTCATTTGGCTCTACCTCTTCTGCTAATACCTGTTTTGCATCTCTCTCAATCCCCTCTATGACATTGGCCGCTATATCTTTCACCACTTCCTGCTTGGCCACTGCTTCTACCTCAATCACCGCTACCTCTGCCTCATTCGCTAATTCCTGCTTGCCATCTCCTTCTAACACCTCTACCTTATTCAACTCTACCTCATTCATCACATCCTCCAAAGCCACTGCCTCAATCATCTCTACCTCAATCGTCCCAACCTCCACCACTTCCTGCATGGGCTCTCCCTCACTCCCCTCTCTCTCAGCCACCTCTTCTTTCACTGTCTCCAGAACTTTCTTCTTGTTCTTGTGTTTCTTCCTATTCCTACGTTTCCTCTGAACACCATCCTCTCCCTCTTTCTTTGTCTCCACAACATTATCAACTTTCTTAGCCACTTCCTGTTTGGCTATTCCCTCATTCCCATTTACCTCACTTGCCTCTACCTCTTTCCCTAAGTTCTCCTTGGCATCTCTCTCAATCCCTTCTACGACATTGGCCACTACCTCTTTCACAAATTCCTGTGTGGCCACTGCATCTACCTCAATCACCGCTACCTCTACCTCACTCGCCACTTCCTTCTTGGGCTCTCCATCATTCCCCTCTCCCTCAATCTCGTTTACCTTCATCTCTTCTACTTCCCGAACTTTCATCTCAGTCCTTCGTAGCTTCCCATTCCTATGTTTCCTCTTAACACAATCCTCTCCCTCTTTCTTTGTCTCCACAACATTCTCAACTTTCTCACCACTTCCTGCTTGGCCACTGCTTCTACCTCATTCCGATCGACCTCATTTGGCTCTACCTCTTCTGCTAATACCTGTTTTGCATCTCTCTCAATCCCCTCTATGACATTGCCTGCTATATCTTTCACCACTTCCTGCTTGGCCACTGCTTCTACCTCAATCACCGCTACCTCTGCCTCATTCGCTAATTCCCGCTTGCCATCTCCTTCTAACACCTCTACCTTATTCAACTCTACCTCATTCATCACATCCTCCAAAGCCACTGCCTCAATCATCTCTACCTCAATCGTCCCAACCTCCACCACTTCCTGCATGGGCTCTCCCTCACTCCCCTCTCTCTCAGCCACCTCTTCTTTCACTGTCTCCAGAACTTTCTTCTTGTTCTTGTGTTTCTTCCTATTCCCACGTTTTCTCTTCATACCATTTCTCTCCCCCACTTTCTCCATCTCTTCAATCTCGTTCTCAACCTTCTTGCTATTCTGACATGTCTGCTTCACATCCTCATTATTGGTGTTGACTCCTGCCTGCTGCTGCTCTTCTGCCTTTTGCTGCTGCTGCTGTTGGTGGATGATGAAGCTCTTCAGCTCGGTGCTGTTCTGGAATTCCAGCAGCTCCCGCTGATATTTGGCCTGCTGCTGTGCACAATGATCCAGCAGGATCATCTCAAGCTCCAGAATCTGGCGCTCAGCTTCTAGTTTTGTGGCACAGAGCATCCTCTTGTGCTGCCCCTTCGAGCGACGGTCTGGGGAGTCGCATGGGGAGGAGAGAGCAGCACCACAATTGATTCGTTAATGGGTATTTGAGTATTTCCTGTATGATAATAGGTTTTTCCCGTTTTTACTGGCAACAAAACAGGTGTTAA